AGCACGATGGGCATCTTCGGCCTGGTTTGCAAGGCCCCTCGGAGTCCAGCTCTAGGCGGCCTTTTACAGCGCATGCTCCCCGCCCCCGCCCCCCATGTCGCTCCATTTCTGTTCAAGCATTTTCTAAATGCTGGGCACTAAGTGCTTCCCCAATGTTAATTTGTAGGGTTTTACTTACATGCAACATTATTTTGTATCAGTTTCAGGTGTGCAGCATAGTGTTGAGACAATCATATACTTTACAAACTGGTCCCCCCAATATGTCAAGGACCACCCACCTGGTACCATACATAGAACTTGAACTTGTTCCGTCATCATAGGAACCCCTGGAAATAAGTGTTGTGACTCTCAGAGGCTCCATTTTAAGGGTAAGGCCATCGAGACACAAGAGGTGAAGAACTCGCCCGCATGCCCGCAGCTGCTAAGAGGGGCGGCTGGGGTTTGAACGCAGGCGGCCTGGCTCCCGGTCTGTGCACTCACTGCGGCCGGGTCGCCTCTCTGTCCGCACTGGGCACTGGCCCACCCCTCCCTGTTGTGGGTACGGTTCAACAGCCACGCCCACTTCCACAATTCAACAGCCACGAAGGCCTCCGCGATGCCTCCCAGGTTGAGTGAATTCCTCTCGTCTGTGTCCCCACAGTGATGTGCACACCCCTCCCCCAGGGATGATGCTGTCCTGTTCGACTCCTCCACCGGACGCTGAGCACCCCGGCGGGAGGGGCGGGCTACGTCTCCCCCTCTGTGCCACTCTGTGCCCAGCCCGGCATCCCGTGCCACCCATTCTTCATGGAGCAACCGAAGGCATCTTTTAAAAACGAAACCAGTTTTTGTCACCCCCTGGCTTAGAACCATCCAGTGGCAATCAATCCACTGACCTCAGAATAAAACCCCGGCCGTGGCCTAGAAGGCGCTGCGTGGTCTGGTCCCTGCCTCCTCCCTGCCCTCGTCTGTTGCCACTCCCCCTCTTGTCCCCTCTGCTCCAGCCACGCTGGCCCCATGCCTGTCCCCAGACAGTGCGGGCTCGCCTGGGGCCTCTGCTGGCGCCGTTTCCCGTGCCTGGAACGTCCCGCCCCACCTCCCCACATGACCGACTTTTTGTCACTCAGCCTCCGTTTCAGACAGACCTTCCTTATCTGCCTAGATGCCTAGATGTTTTCATATTTACTTCTTCAGTGGTTACTAATGATGTGTGTGTCCACTGCACGTCTGTCAGTCCCACGGGCGCAGGGATCGGGGGCATCTGGTTCAGCACCTGGAACAGCGCCCAGCACCCAACAGCCGCTCAGTACATTAGTGCTGGGGGACCACAGCGTCCCTCTGGGAGTGGACCTGCTACCAGCCGCTATACTGAGCTGCTTGGCCCAGAATATAGTATGAGTAATATAATATAATATAATTAATATAATATAATATAGTATAGTATAATATATAGATATAAATTGGTCTAATCTCTGGCTAAAAGCTGGGAGAGTGTCACAAGCTGAAGCCCACTGTCTTTATTGCCTTCTTATTTCTTGCCTCCAGTCATATTCCCAGAAGTAAGGCAATTTTTTTGGACCATTCTCTGCAGACTTCCCTTCACCAGGGATGCTTAGAACTCTTTACATGTGTTCGAATTCGTCCACCTTAAGGAAACACGTGAGCTCCTGCCTTCCCATTTTGCAAGCGGAAACGTCCTTGCACAGTGAAAAGGCTGACTTGTGAAGCGTCTGGAGCCCCGTGGGAGCACACACACCCAGCACGGCCACCACGTCGCGTCGGTACCGGGAGATGCTTCCTGCTCCAGCAAGGGACCGGAGCCCCGAGTCCTGCCAGGGCACGGGCCACGCCAAAGAACACGTATGAATGACTCATGCGCATAGATAATGGAGTGAGGGCAAGAGGCGTAGGCTGGGTGGAGGGGGACAAAAGGGGAAAAAATTGGGACAACTGTAATAGAATAAACAATAAACAAAACAAAACAAAACACCTCGAAGGAGGGGTCTGTGGCTGAGAGATACACGCAGCCACATTCAGGGCACCTGGGAAGAGGGAGGCTTCACCCGCAGCTGGTGCAGGCAAGCAGCACGGGCGGAAATCCACAGAAATGGGATCTGGGTGCATGACCGCGGAGCCTTTGCTCACGAGAACCAGCAGGCCAGCCAGGAGGTTTGCTCAGAGGCCAGAGCACAGGGACTGCCATCATCGACTTCTTCGGAAGGACATGGAAGGGAAGTGTGTTACGGGTTTCCAAGTCCAGCGGCCATACATGTCATCCTCTGGAGAACCAGGGAGGGTGTTCCTTGCCCTCTCTCCTCCTCCTCCTTCCAGGGAAGGGCACAGCACCCCAAGTTTACGGGCTGGGAAACCCTAAGGCCTAGTCTCCCAGGCAGAGTGGCGGACGGAAGAGAGCCCTAGATGAAGAGTCCAGAGGTCTGGGCTCTGGGGTCAGCCCCGGGGGACTTCCGGTGGGTTTCCTTTCCTTTCCGACCCTCATCTCCTCATCTGTAAAGTGTGGCTATTGGGTTTGGGGATTTCCAAATCAGTGATTTCCACGACTTCTGTTTTCATGAGCTTATCACTCAGACTACTTTGACGGCAAGCTCTCACTTTTTCTTTGTGGGGCTGGGTTTGTTTTATGAGCAGCCTGCTAAACAGTCCCTGGCCTCTGGCCACAGTGTGGGTAGGAGAGAGAAACTGTTCAGGTTCGGCCAAACCTGCGGAGGGTCGATGTGCCCTTGTTTTTTCTCTGAACCAGTTTCTCTAGGACACAAGCTCCATCACCGCAGTGTCGCCGTCTCAAAGCTTCCTGCCAGGGACAGGCACGTTCAGAACAGACCGAGGAGGGAAAGTCGGGATTTGCGTTAGTGGGACAGCATTGGAATGGCAGGCGTTGCTATTGATGTTAAAAACCCTTCTGCTCTGAATGAGCTGATGTCGTGCGTTTGCTTCAGAATAAGCCTGGGTGTGTTTGTGTGTGTGCGCGCGCGTGATGAGAATGGGTGTGGGTAGAGAGGAAACAAAATCAGCCAATTGTTGAAGCTGGGTGATGGATACGTGAGGGTTTCTTATATTCTATTCCTTCTATTTTAAACAACACGTTTGAGAGATGCCATCGCCAATGGCCCCTTGGAGCCCGGCCCCAGCCTGTCTCCCCACTCGCACTCCACAGTCCCCTGGCCCCTCTGGCACAGGGACGTCAGCCCAGCGGCTGCGATGTCACACCTTCCAGCCTCTCCACACGGCTCCATCTGTCAGAGGGGCTCCTCCTCTTCGCTCCTCGCGACTCACCTCTCCCGCGTGGGAGAGCCCCCGGCCTGGCGCGCACGATGAGGGCGCGCGCGACGAGAGCGCTCCCGGCGCCGCGGCGCACCTGTTTTCTTTTCCGCATCCGCCGCCGCTCCGCGTCCTCCTCGCGACGCCGCGCGGTCTCCCCAGCGCACAGCCAGTGCCTGACACCCCACAGGTCCTCGGCGCGCGTGTACCAAGGGGATCGATCGCAGCAGGCAGGGTAGTTACCAATTTTTTGAACACTCACTATGTGCCAGACACCACCCTCATCTCATTACACAGGTTTTTAAATCAAATCCTTAAAAACAAAGTGGATACCGTGACCCTGTCTTCTCAGGAGGTCACTGGCCCAAGGTCACGCGCCCAGTGACAGAGCTGAGATTTGGACTCAGAGTGGGAACCACCCGGCCCTTTTTCCTGCATCTGGGCTTTCAGCAGGCGTCTCTGGGGGTGTTGCACACAGGCTCCGGGTTTGGGGAGCCTGGGCTTCAGGCCCAGTCCTGCAGCTGAACCGCTGCCTGACCTCGGGCACATGACTCCTGCCCTGCAGGCTGGGTCTCCCAGGGAGACCCTCCCTGAGGGGTGGTCTCGTGACCCGAGGGTCCTCCCGAGGTAGCTCCCAGGGAAAAAGTCTCCACCCCCACGTTTGCTTTTCTGCTGATGAACTGGCTTTTCTGCTTGGGAACCTCTCAGCTTCTCGCACTTCTCCCACCTCTGTGCCTGCTAATTGCAGTCTCCCAGAACCGAGCCCGCTCACAGCCCGCTGCCCGCTGCCCGCACCCCCTTCCTTCCTGGTGGCTTCACTCCTTCCTCCCGGGGGTAGGGGAGGAACCCCGGCGGCAGGGCGGGGGAGCGTGCAGCTGCCCCGTTTGTGCGGCTTTCCCGTGGCTTCTCGGCACCCTCCCCCACGGAAACTCAGCCGCACACTTTCTAGGGATGTTCTGAGGACAGCCCGAGTCCGCGATTGCAGCTGCCAGCCCGGGGCACCTGTGTTAGGCTCTCGGAAGGTCCTGAGCTAGCGTGGAGGTCCGGGAGGGGGGGGTCTGGAGGGAAGACGGCCATGCACCCCTTTCTTTGAGCCTACGTCCGGCTCACCCAGCTGGAGCTGCGGACCCTCGGTGCCTCCCAGCCTCTCCGACTTCCCGCTGGGACCCGCCATTGCATGGCCAGGCCTCGGCGAGCTGCAGACCAGAGCGGCGGTTGCGACTAGGCCCCCCTCCCCAGCTCGCCCGACACAGCTCTGGGGAAAGCCGAAACCCCCCAGGCGACGCAAACACCCACCCCCAGGGAACGCAGGAGGCCCCAGCTTCTCGGCTTTGTTTGCGGCTGGGCAGGAAGCGGGCTGCCGGCCAGGGCTGTCCGCCGCCGACGCGCCGCGCGCGGAGCCCGTGGGGGCGAGGGACTGTCCTCGGCGGCCGTGGTGCTGAGCCCGGGCCGAACGAGGAGCGGAGCCGCCGGGCGGCCGCTGTCCGCCGCGCAGGGCTGACCCTGCGGGCCCCGGGAGCTGCCCCCGAGGTGGTGCGGCAGCGGGAAGGAGCCGGGGGCGCCCTCTGCGCCTCGCCCCGGAAGAGCCCCGGCGAGAGCTACAGGGAGAAGGAAGGAGGGCCCGAGGAAGCCGCCCTCGGGGAGCTCGGCCGCGCGGGGCCTGCGGCCCGGGCCTCTCCGGCGAGCCTGCCCCCGTGGCGGAGGTGGCGGCTCAGCAGCGGAGAGCGAGCGCGCGGTCTACGAACCTGTTGGAAGCTGCAGCTCCTCCGAGGCCGGCCTGGGTGCCTGGGACCGGACCGCGATTCTGGCGCGCTTCTCCCGCCCTCTTCCCGGACTCCTCCGCGGAGGCGCTCCCTCCTGCCGGGGCTAGCACACGTGCGTGCGGGGGGCACCGAGCCCCTCTTCCTTCCGCCGGAATGTCAGCCGAGCTGCAGGGCGCGCAGCCGGCAGGCTTCCCCCAGGGGCAGACCGGCTCCGGGGAGACCCAGGCTTCCCGAGAAAGGAGGCGGGGGCTGGCGACAGGGAGGAGAGAGGGCGCCAGCAGAGGTGTCTGCGAAACCGGGAGGGGGACGTGGGGGACTTCCCCGTAGTGACAGTTGTGCCCTGAAGTTTGGGGACTTAGGGTCCTGTTACTTAGGGGACAGTGCGCATCTTGCCTTGGAAATATCCCCCCCGCCGCCCCCCCCCCCCGCTCTATTTCTGTGGCCAATATCCACATGCAGGTCTCCTACCGGGTCCGCTGCAAACTGACTCGCTTGCCTAACTGCTCCCAGCACCTTACTCCTGTCGGTCATCCGCCATGCCCCGGAGAGAGCTTTCTCGCCCTCCTCTCTCTGCAGTGCAGCTGTAGTAAGGGGCAGTGGCTGGCCCTTCACCAGGAGACCCAGGACCTCCTCTCCAGCTGTGTTCTTACCAGGACAGGTGACCTGACCGCTCGTTCTGAAGGGGTTCGCCCCAGTGCCTTAGCACCTGCTGCTCCCTTTGGCTGGAGCGCTCTTGCAACCTTACTGCTTACGCTTCGTCTGTACGTTCCAGTGCGCTCCTTTGAATGGGGATTTCCCTGGTGCCTAAGGCAGAGTCAGCCCTGCCTCCAGGCTTCCTCTACTCTTCACTCCTCTACTAGATTTCCAATCACGTTGTGTTATAATTACTTGTGCGTCGATATCCTGCTACCAGGCTCGTAAAAGCTGTTCCATATTTTCCCCTCCTCTGTGTCTCCACCTCCTAGCGGGGTGACCGACAGGCAGCAGAGGATGAATTACATCTGCTGAGTGAATGCACACGTGAGAAGCAGAGGTCAAAGCAGCCTTTTCTCTTTCATGTGATTGTCCCTCTCATTCCTGTATGTATTTTAAACCACAGCCCGCAACCCCTCCCACAGCAGCGCGCCCGCCTAACCCCTCCGCCTCACCTCCGGCACCCGCTCCTGACTCGGTGATTTTACCCACGGTGACCTCCGTTTTGTACCAAACTGCTTTTTAAAAATTAAAAAAAAATTTTTTTTCGCTGTTTTCTTAATTTGGGACCCTTAGAACCTTGATCTTTACTGGCTGAATCCTTCTTGTCCTTTGAATTTCAGCTCAAATGTCACCTCCTAAGGAGACCGTCTCTGGCCACTCTCATATTTGCTCCCCCAATTAGCTGATAACATCGCCCATGTCACTTTTCTTCATTATTATTATTCTTTGAAACGGTTTCCCTTTCATGTTTAGTCGTGCGTCACGGGATCTCCCTCGGCGAGGGTGGAACTCTCCAGGGGCGCGGCCCGGGCCTGGCTTGCTCACTGCAGTGTCCTCTGTGGTCAGTGTTCTGAGATAAACTCGCCTCACACCAGCGCACCCATAATCCCTTTTGCCCTGGAACGGCTCGAGCCCTTGTGCCAGTCGCTGCAGAATCCTCCACTAGGTATAAGTCAACCAGGAATGCTCAAAGGGAGGGTCACGTTGGTGTTCCACGGGAGAGGGAAGAACAAGCGCAGGGCCACAGACCCGAGGCTGTGCGGTGCCGGGCCTGGGCCATAGCCCCCGCTCACCCTGGATGGCGGAGCCATGGCAACGGCTGACTTCACGTCCTACAAAGCACGGTCACACCCTGCAAAGCACGGTCACACCCTGCAGAGCACATTCTCATTTGATAGGCATGGCGGCCTTATCTGGTGGGTCTCATTCTCCCTCATACTGAAAGCATCTGAGGCTAAGAGAGGCCGACTGACCTGACCAAGACCACACGGCTCGGAGAGACGATGCCCTTCCTGGTGCCGTGCTGTCGGCTGGGGAATCCAGAATGAAGACGTGGCTCCTGCCCGCCAGGACTTCGCGTTGGTGAGAGACGCAGGCACAGGAACGACGGATCATAGCACAGCCTGACGGGTTCTCAGCAGGGACCCTCGACCTGGAGAGGGGTGGGGCGAGCAAGAAATGAATAGGCTGCCAGGGTCAGACGAAACCAAAATTCATTTCAACGATCATTACAATTTGCTCATGGTTTCCCAGGTGTCAGATACTGTACTGCGTTTTCACACATTGTGTGTCCGCGAATCATTCCTGCCTATCTTCACCCTCGTTTTACAGCGTTAACAGAACCTTAGGGACGTTAAGTAGCTCAGTCAAGGTTGTGACGCTGGTCAGCAGCTGAGCTGGGACTTCACCGGACTTTGCTTGACTCAAAGCCTGAGATCGTAACCCTTCTGCACCCAGAACCACTGAATCTGAGGCTCCGGTGAGCAGGGAGGGGACTGGGATTTGCAGGTGACTCTTAGATTGTCCTGTTATCGTTTAACCTCCGTTGAGAAACACTCGTGTTGAGAGTGCTGCGAACGCAGAGGAAGGGAGGGTGAGTGCTACCGGAGGTTGAAGTTAGACCTTGCAGGGTGAAGTGGGTGGCGGTTTCCAGGCAGACAGTCGGAGAGTACTTCAGACAGAGAGGACAAAATAGAATCTTCAAGCCCCTTGGGGTCTGGAAGTGAAGGGGCTGTTCGTGGTTTGGCGCGGGTGGAGTGTAAGGCCGGTGATGTAAGGGACGGGGGTGGGACACGAGGCTGGAATTCGGTTTAGGCCTGGCCGTGTGCCTCTATCTATCCCGCAGGCCGCAGGAAGCCACTGAAAGGTGACAACAGCTGTGGGTGAAAAACCGCCACTGTCACCTTGATCAGCCCACAGGAACAACAGGGGTCAGGCCTTTACCTGCTGCAAAGTACTCGCTGCTCGCAGAAATATCTCTCTGGAGTGATGTATCAGACCTGAAGCTCCATGAGCCACCACGCCTGCGGGCTGGTTCCCGCCGAGAGCCCGGCACTCAGTGTTTGATGAAGAGGAAGGAACTGGACACGTGTAGTTTAGAGGCCGCGGCAACAACTCAAGTAAGAGAGAAGTGATGAGAAGCGTCACTTAACCAGCGTTGGTTGAACCACCGACTCCAGAAAGTAAAAACCTATGGTGTCCTACCTCTGAGCACCCCCAGGGGACACTGGGATTAGCTGCCCAGAATGGTTGCTGGATAATGACCGCAATTTACCTTTCCAACATGCAGACAAGCATATTGTCACCCAGGCGGCCAGCACCTCGCCCAGCCGGGAGTTCTTCTGCTGCACGCGCTTTATGTCTTTCGGCTTCTGGATTCCGGCCCTGACGGCCCCTGTCATGTGGCAGCGGCATATGCCACCGTTGGTTTCCGTGTTTGAAAGGGCAATCACTGCGCTAATGAAACTCAGTCTTGGCTCGAGAGCTAAAATCCACCTTCTGTTTCTCCGCCCCAGTGGGCAAGTCCTCACGGACCCCGGTAATGGCCAACTCACAGACGGCCGACTCGTGTCTGGTATGGGGCCCCTTTAAAACCTGTGACATCCATCAACCCTGTGGAGGTGGGAGTGGCTCTTCTCCCCGCTTTACCGATGAAGAGGGCCCCGACACTGCCTGGCCGCCCCCCGGAGACGGCCTCTCCACTCTTGTCCCTCCCAGACCCGGGGAAGCCGGGGCAGACAGTTTCCCCGCTGAGCGTCCCGACTTCCTGTCCGTGACGTGGGGGCAAGACCAGAGCGAACAGGGACGGCCGTGGGGGGAGCAAAGAAGGTAACGCGTGAAGGCGTCTGAACAGGGCAGGTTCCGTTTCCGGTCCTCCTCGTCTGCACCAGCGCTCCCACGTCTGCCCAGATGCTCGGAGCCCCAACCCACGGGCCGCTGTTGAAGTCTTCCTTCCCCCGGCCTCAGCATCCAGCCCGCTGGCACGTCAGTCCAGGCCTTGCACCACAACGTATCTGCAGTTAGTCCGCTCCTGCCTTTCTCCACCACGTCTCCTCCTGTTCACGCCGTCACGGCCTCCCGCCCGCGCTGGCACAGCAGCATCTCCACTGACCATTCTGGGTCCGCTCCTGCTCCCCAGAGCGATTTTTAAAACATGTACCCCATGCAGGAAAGAGCACAAATGACGTGAACAGTTTAATGGTCACAAAGCGAGCACAGCTGTGCGGCCAGCAACCAGAGAGCGGAAAGGAAGGAGGTGATGGGTCTCCATCATGGCACCCCAGGTAGTGCTGCCCCTCACCCCTCGTCAGAGGAAGCCGCAGACCGGGGGCGACTTCTGACCGCACGGAGTGATGTCGCCTGCTCGTGAAAGCACGCCGTGTGCACTCTTGTGTGTCTGGCCTCCTTTTGCTCAATATCATGTCCGTGAGATTCATTCATGTCTCTGCCTGAGTCAGCAATGGTTTACTTTTCACTGCTGTGTAGTAGTCCACGGCATGGCTGTCTCTCAATGTGAGGAGGGGTTCTTGGGTTGTTCCCAAATTTTGATTCCAAAATTGTTGGGTTTGTTTCCAAATTGTAGATCTTTTGATACATATATGTAAGGGATACGGTTGGTTATACGCCCAGGAGTGAAATAAGTGGGTAAGGCGTGCATATATTTAGCTTTCGTAGATACTTCTAAAAAGTGCGGGTACCGTTTACACTCCTGTGAGCTGTGTATGGAGTTCTAGTCGCCCCACATCCTCACCAACACCTGGTATTGCTCATGCAGTGTTACTTTTAGCCGTTCTATGTACGTAGGGAGAGTGTAGTGGTTTCAGTGTGCATTTACCTGATGGATAATGAAGCGCTTTTCCGTGTGTTTAATGCCCATCGGGAAAACTTCTTTTGTGAATTGTTTATTCATGTTTATGTCAGTTTTTCTATTGTGGCATCTGTCGTTTTCCTCATGATTTGTAAGAATTATTTATGTAATCTGGATAAGAATCTTTTGAGGCCATAGGGACAGACGTAACTATGTATGTCTAGAGTGAATACACATGTAAACTGTTCTCCTAGTCTGTGGCTTGTCTCTTTCCTCTGTTGATGGTATCTTTTGATACATAAAGGTTGCCATTTTATAGTAGTTCAATTTATCAATTTTTCTTTATAGTCAGTGCTTTTTGTGTTTTGTTTAAGAAATTGTTGTCTACCCAACATCATAAATATGTTTTCCTTGTTGTCTTTTAGAATCTGCATTGTTTTACCCTTTATATTTACATTTACAACCCGTATAGAACTGATTTCTGTATATAGT